CTTTTTGTTTCCATATGAGTCAATAAATTGTTTGAGAAAGGGGAAGTAAACTGTGAACTTAAGTTTAGTAAATGCTTGAATCTATTATGATTACAGAGACAATCTAAATTTTAAATTAAAAATACTCAAACATGAAAACAATGTTCTCTTCAATAAATGATGTGAAATATAAAACAGATTGAATGCTAAATTAGAGCAATGTCTAGGCATGAGACTTCTAACAGGTGATGATGTAAATGACATTATTGTGTTAAAATGTATGTGGCCTAGCTCTAAGAAGAACTTACAAGCTGTTGTTCTAATGATATAAACTCTAAAAATGTTTTCAGTTAAATGAAACAAAAAATTTAGAGTTTTTGTGAACACCCTAAGAGAAAATGCAAGCAATTAAATATGAAACAATATAAGTCAAAACTTTTTTAAATCCATTTACAGATCATTTAAAGTAAATAGGCTTATGGTAAAAAATTTACAAAACGAAATGTATTATTGGAATACTTTTTGTTGAGTAAGGACAAACCGCTTTTTCTACAGAAAAATTTAGGAAAAAGTTACTCTAAAAATGTTGCGTTTATACATTAATGCTCCTCACAGATGCACAATTTCCAAAGATAAATTGCAACGGTAAAGTTACTTACGGTAAATATAGGCTGAGAACATTGGCAGGAGGAGCAGTAGATGAAATAATACAGTGAGCCTCATGATTCTGGAAAAGAAATAAGACAGAAAACACAGGATACAAAAGCTGACAAATGCTCTCTGAAAACATTTATGTTAGTAATATTAAGCTCTTACTTAGAATTGTTAATTTATACATTAGGTTGCAACTGTAAATAGTTAGAATATGTAGGGAGTATAGACAGATATTAGTCAAGGATGACAGAGATTGTCCTTACCTTGTTCTTCAGTGGTTTTAGTGTTTGAGGTCAGAGTTTGTCTTTGAGCATTTGATCAATCTTTAACTGATCCCTTATTTATTTTACATAAAACACACATGTTGTCCAATGAAATCTCAAACTAAATCAACCCCCACCATTCTTGGTTAGTTCAGGGGAGGCCAGCGCTATTATTGGCCAAACCAAACAGATGATTTTTTTTTTTTAATGTAGATTTAAACACCATCAGAGCAAGTGTTTCTCATCTAAACCAGAGGGTGGCAGCAGTGATATTCTAATGCCGAGTGTCCTAACTGATTTGACATTTTGATCATTAGTATCTAACTATCTAGTAAATATAAGGCAACAATAAAAATGCAGATATTAAAGATTCACTTTAATATACTAAACCTTAGATTAAATAACACCAAATTTATGTCCTTTTTAAAACCTTTTTTGGTTTATTATGGAAAAACGTCATGAGTCTCTACAGATTAACAATAAATCTATGTAATTAAGGAACTACTCAATTGAATGTGTATATTATTCCAAAAAGGTAAAAAAAAAAAAAAATTTAAAAAAAATCCACTGGACTTTGTTTCCAAGTTTGAGGATGTTTTGCTTTCCATCCAATTTTTATTTTTCAATTACTTTTTGAATTGAAAAAAATGAATTGGAAAAATTTCCTGGATGGGAAGCGAAATGTCTTAGCTTCCCATAGCATCCCTGGCAGCTTAGGTGAAATCTGTTAGGAATAAAGATTGTTCTCATTACTTTTTATTGTTGTTCTTAGGATCAGTTTACAGGCTTTTATCCAAACTCTCAAGCCTATTTTGAAGAGGGATTCAATTACTTCCTGCTGGGTTAACCACAGCCTTCTGTTGAAATCTTCCTTTCCAAGAGGAAATTGTGTCACGTTTCTAGTCTAGTTATTATGTTAAACTGTTAAACAACAGAGTCAAAGGATTCATCAGATCTGCTGCAAGATTGAAGATCATTCCTGCAAAGAATTTCTAACATTGTAAAAAAAAAAAAAAGGATTATGAGATTCAAATAACATTTTAGGAACCATTTTTCTTATTTGCCTCTTTGGTAATATATTTCCCCTTAACGTGCAATTTATCAAAGTGACCCAGTAAGATGTTGGTCTGATTCACCTGCAGCTGCTGTTAAGGCAGCTGCAGATGGGGGAAATTATTAACATTATTAACAATGGGGAAATTATTTCTCTGCATTTGACCCATCCCCTTGGGGAGCAGTGGGCCGCCATTGTGTGGCGTCCGGGGAGCAGTGTGGGGTTAAGGGTTATGCTCAGGAACCCAGAGTGTATATAATCATTTTGTGATTTTATGTTCAATGCTCATGCAGGTTGGTTGTGTCGTCCTATAATTCTCTTCTTGACGACTTAAAATTGAAGCTAAGTTTTATAAAAATTCAAAGTTCTTAAAAAGCAGAAAAAGTCTCAAACAAGGATCAAAAAATTTAGACAGAGGCCGCTGAGTCCAGGTCCAGGGAGTTTATTGCTAAACACTACATATTTACACAGAGCTGGTGAGCTGAAGCTGACAAATGGTGAAACCAGCTCCCTTTTATACATTTCTTTATCGGTGGAAACCCCCCTTCAGAACGTATTTCAGTCATTGGTAAAGGTCACATTGATATTTATCTGCAAAACACGGTGACATTCATATACACATCTCATTCTTGTGAGAGCACTCTCTCAGGCCATGAAAACATCTGGTACATTCAAATCAGAAACTTATGACGGTTTAGTCAAAAACATGTCAGCTCTTGCTTCAGGTCATGTCAGACGACCATACTGCTCCTCCTTCGTCTCATCACCCTTTGTGGGATCATTACTGCTCCATGTGCTCTGAAAATAACAACTCCTTTGTATGGTCAGATTTTTGCTGATCTGGACTACCTTGGGATGTCAAATATTTCATTTTTATTGCGGGTGCTTTTCTTATCACTAAGGGGCCTCAACCCTGCGTTGTCCTGTAGATCTCACTCTTGGGGCCAGGCGCAATGGATACACACACT